CTCAGATCGGTTCAGAGTCAGAAGTGTGCACAGGTGCGATGTGCCTGCCTTTTATTAGACCCTCATGGGGCGTGGCTTGTTCCTATTGGCTGATTGGATTCTACAGTCCTATCACTTATCCCAGCCTGAGATGGTGCGAGATTAGGAAACTTGTTGGTTGTGGTTGTATGGGGGAACCTGACACAGCAAGAGAAAGTGAATCTCTGTTTACCCTTAAGACCTCTTCAAAATGTCCAATGTTTTTCCAGTCTTGGATCATACATCTCAAACTTCTCCTTTGGGTGGGGGTTAGGTGGGACATGGAGATGATAGACTTGAATGCAAATCGTAGAATTATGTATTTGTCTAATAAATAAGTTGGAAGCCATCAAATCAGTTTTAGGAAATAATCATTTAAGGATATAAAAGACAATAAAAGACTCCCAGGCTTTATAACACAAAATTATTTCAAAAAATTTTAAATATCATTTAATACCCAGTTCATATTCACATTCTTCTAAATCTAAATTACTCAAACACATTTTATTGGTTTTGATTTTTTTTTTAGCCAGGATTTAAACAAAGTTCCTACATTAAAATTACTTCTCATAACATTAGAACTGGTACATTTTGTCTGAAAATATCATTAAAAGCAGTTACAAAATGGAAGCACGTACTTATAATTCCCATCACTCAGAAAGAAATTGTATCCAGATACATAAAGTTTAATTTCTACCAATTCAAAACAAAAGGAAACTATTCACAATAGATTGGAAAACAATTGACAAAACAATTCACAGGTTAGTAAACTCGTATGATGAAAACTATGTTACATTACATACAGCATTGCTAATTATAAAGTCAATGCGAATAAAAACACCACCAAGTTTTCACATACATACTACTAATAAAAATTCAGATGTTACCCAGGGTGCCTAGGATGTGGGGAAACTGGAGATTCTTCTCTGGAGTTAGTGAGGTTTTTGGGCTTTTAACCACCTCAGGACATACATGATTATGCAAACTAAACCTGAAGGTGTGTGAAAATGATGACTCAGCAAATTCAACTTCTCACTTTCTGTTTATAACAACAAGGAGGCTGCCCAAGTGTATCATGGGAGCATTGACAGTGGAAGGAAAAACATAAATGCTCACCAATAGGGTCAGGGATTATAACCAAAAAGTCCAGTGCACTGACACACAAAAATTACAAACAGCGGTGAAACACAATGAACTATAGGTACATGTGTAAAAAGAAGATTTTTCCCAAAACAATTGGGAGAAAAGTCCTGATAAAATATTAGACAGTATAAGGACATGTGTATAAATATTTTACATTTGCAGAAAATAATGTGTGGTGTATGGTGTTCAAAGTATGTACATATATGTTAGAATTTCTTAAAATTTTGGGAATGAGAAATATCAAATTATAGTTGATTGTATCAGATACATACATATGTGATCAAATCAAAATGCAGAAGAAAAGTAACCAGGAAATAAATCTCTCTTAAGGTCTTGTGGGTGAGAGACCGGCCAGATCAATTCCCATGGACCCCCATGCTTCAATCTCATGTGATTGCATTGTGTTCGAGGCCGAAGGGAACAAAAATGCCCAGTGAACTGATAAGGCATCTTTTTTTTTTTTAATTCTTGAGTTCATGATGTTATTTTTTTTTAATTTTTATTTTATATATATATTAGTTGATTTACAATGTTGTGTTAGTTTCAGGTGTACAGCAAAGTAAATCAGTTATACATAAACCTATATCCACTCTTTTATTTATTTATTTATTTTTTTGCGGTATGTGGGCCTCTCACTGTTGTGGCCTCTCCCATTGTGGAGCACAGGCTCCGGACGAGCAGGCTCAACGGCCATGGCTCACGGGCCCAGCCGCTCCACGGCATGTGGGATCCTCCCAGACCGGGGCACGAACTCGTATCCCCTGCATCGGCAGGCGGACTCTCAACCACTGCGCCACCAGGGAAGCCCTCTTTTTCATATTCTTTTCTCATATAGCTTATCACAGAATATTGAGTAGAGTTCCCTGTGCTATACAGTAGGTCCTTGTTGGTTATCTATCTATATATAATAGTGTGTGTATGTTCATTCCAAGCTCCTGATTTATACCAACACCCCCCCCCAACATTTTCCCTTTGGTAACCATAAGTTTGTTTTCTAAGCCTGTGAGTCTGTTTCTCTTTTGTAAATAAGTACACTTGTATCATTTTTTAGACTCCACATATAGGTGATATCATATGACATTTGTCTTTCTCTGTCTGACTTACTTCACTTAATATATAGTTACTAGGTCCATCCATGTTGCTGAAAATAGCATTATTTCATTCTTTTTTATGGCTAATATTCCATTGTATATATACATACCACATATTCTTTATCCATTCCTCTATTGATGGACATTTAGGTTGCTTCCATGTCTTAGCTATTGTAAATAGTGCTGCAATGAACATTGGGGTGCATGTATATTTTCTAAGTATGGCTTTGAGAAGGCATCTTGAGACCGAGATAGGAGGCAAGGACCTTTATCTAATCAATGGATCCATCTACGATAGCGTAACTTACTCACAGGGTGGGATCTAGATCAGGCTGACAATGATAAGATCTGGAAGTTTTCACAGCTGCGTTCAGCACCACCCAGGGCCCATTCCAGAATTTTATAGTTAACCTAGGGTATCGGGGTAGGTGCTTGGAAACAGGATGAACTTTCCTAAGTTAAGATTTATGAGCAGGTAACTAGTCTTCTGGGCACCGAGAATCCATCATGGAGAGTTTTCATTATTGTTTGGGGACTAACAGTATAGAGTTATGCTCACAGCCATACATATTGAATTGGTTAGGTTAGCACTGGTGCTTGAACAGGGCATCCTGAAACAACAGAAAGTCTAGCTGGATAGGGAAACTTCCCCTCATGTTTCCTCATCTATTTTGGAAGCCTCATTGTTTCCCATGGAGTTTTCTGAGCATCCACAATCTGACCTGACAAGGACAGTTGAGTTATTATCAGCGTCAGAAAAATTTTCTAATTGAAATATTGTCGATTTACAATCTTCTATTGGTCTCAAGTATACAGCATAGTGTTTCAATATTTGTATAGATTATTACAAAATAATGGCTACATTTCCCTGTGTTGTGCAATACCATCCTTGTTGCATATCTATTTTATAGGTAGTAGTTTGTGTCTCTTAATCCCATTCCCCTATTTTGCCCCTCACCACTTCCCTTTCCGCAGTGGTATCCACTAGTTTGTTTTCTATACCTGTACCTGTGAGTCTGTCTGTTTTATTTTATACAGTCATTTGTTTTGTGTTTTAGATTCCACATCATCAAGGAAACTCAAATCACAATGAGATATCACCTTGCACCTGTGAAAATAGCTGTTATTGAAAAGACAACAAATAACAAGTGTTGGTGAAGATGTGGAGAAAAAGGAGTCCTCATGCACTGTTGGTAGGAATGTAAATTGGTACAGCCACTATGGAAAACAGTATGCAGTTCCTCAAAATATTAAAAAATAGGACTACCAGGGCTTCCCTGGTGGCGCAGTGGTTGAGAATCTGCCTGCTAATGCAGGGGACACGGGTTCGAGCCCTGGTCTGGGAGGATCCCACATGCCGCGGAGCAACTAGGCCCGTGAGCCACAACTACTGAGCCTGCGCATCTGGAGCCTGTGCTCCACAAGAGAGGCCGCAATAGTGAGAGGCCCACGCACCGTGATGAAGAGTGGCCCCCACTTGCCACAACTAGAGATAGCCCTTGCTCAGAAATGAAGACCCAAAGCAGCAAAAATAAATAAATTAATTAATAAACTCCTATCCCCAAAAAAATCTTCTAAAAAAAAAAAATAGGACTACCATATGATTCAGCAATTCCATTTCTGGGTATTTTTCTGAAGAAAATAAAGACTCTAATTGAAAAGATATATGTATAATACTGCAGAAATGTACCCCATCCCAATTTGGATTAATGGATGCAAGTGTGCATGGCTCAATATTAGGATGGGAACAGAAAGACTCATTTGCTTTGTGCTACAAACAAAAACATAAAGGAAACTATTACATGAATTACTATCATTATTATTATTAGGCCACACCATGGGGCATGCGGGATCTTAGTTCCCCAACTAGGGATCGAACCCGTCCCCTGCAGTGGAAGCCCAGAACCTTAACCACGGGACCACAAGGGAATTCCCTATGTGCATTATGGAACAGTCTCATGCCATGCCCTAAACTACGAGACATGAAACAGCACTGAAAGATAAAATAATGTAGAGTAGAAACTAAATTGTTACTAATTTCAGATCATATACTTATCTACTTATTAACATCTGTATTAAGTAAAACTATTAACAATGAGGTGATTCGCATCAGCGTAGAGAAAAGAAACAAAGAGAAACAGTGACTATCTCTGGGAGGAAAATACCAATAAAAAAAAAAATGAGAGTACTCCTTTACCGAAACCAGAGTCACTATGTCCTAAGGAACTAGCTACGCAAATATTGTCTGCTGTTAATCTAAATTTAGAGAGAGGAAAGGGACTCATCATTTTCTCTTCCACCAGACCTTGTGGGAAGATATCTGGGAGGCTGACATGGCAAGAAATCTTGCCTTCTGCATCTTTCTCAGTTGTCCCCAAATTTATCTGCTTTAGCAGCCTCAGGGTGGAAAGCATGAGAAAGGAAAAGAAAATAGAATGAGTGTAATTAAGATCATCCAAGAAGTTGAAGAATCTATTCGTAAATATATCCATTTTTAAATTCGCCTTGAAGACTTCTACTAAAGTCAAATATTTTTTGGTATATTCAGTTGGATATTATCCCAAGACATACACCTAAAATATAAGGTTTTACATAGAAAACTGAAAAGCATATTCTATGTAAAGTTAAAAAATTGAATAAGTAGCTCTGGAAGGTGGATATATATATATATATATATATATATAT